TTTAAGAAGTAAGTGTCGTATTAATTTAATTAAAAATGTATTTTTTTTCATTTTAAGTTTTTTTTTTTTTCTCTCTTACTTTTTTAATTTTAATTTTGTTTTATCTTAAATTTTATTTCATGTTTCATCTTTTTTTCATTTTCATTTTTTTTTCCTTCACCTCCCCCGCCCCCTGTGTCAAATTGAAACTCATTTTTATTTTTTTTCTTCTCCGGTCAAATTCTATTCATACTATCATTTAGACTTTGCTAAATTATTGATAACAAATTAATTATTTTTCTAAAAAAAATAATTTTTTGAGGTATCATTAACTACTCATTTTCATATTAGAAATCATAATTTTATAAGAATAAATTAATTTCTCAAAAATTGAAAGAACTTGAATCGGATAAAACAAAAATCATATCATAATAAATCAACTCATTAATTTATCTCATTTCATATAATTTCAAAACTATAAATAATAATTTTGAAAGAATCATAATTCTCCGAAATTTGAAAAAGTTTAATTGAAATTTGAATAAAAAAACTAAATAATACCTACTAATCATTTTGAAATCTAATGTATGTATCAAATTGTTCAAATGTAATAAAATGTTTAGATTATTGTTTTAAATTAAAGAGAGTTAAAGTATAGTAGTAAAAAGGGGAGATGAAATTGTATTAAAAAGTGACATTTAAAGTGAGGAGCTTCAATGAAGACAAAAAAGAATTTTTGAAGAAGAAGGAAGAAAGAAAAAGAAAAAAATAATAAGGAGAAAAAGTTAAAAAATAAGAAAAACAAGAAAATGTATTTTAATAGCAAAATACTCGCAAAAGTAAAATTATATTCGTTGTTTTAATTTGGTTCGCTCTTTAAGAGAGTGCATACACTCTCCATACCTGGTGGACAATAAATGATATAATAATATCAGTTCACAATTGTTTAGAGAGGTAATAGTATGTTTGCATAGTTTATGTGTCTTTTTGAAAATTCGAGATAACTTCAGATGTCACTTTATGTCTTTCCTCTATTATGTTTTTTTAGATAAAAGGTAGGAATATTAACTTTGGGATTAAACTAGTTTTTTCCAAAAGTTACATAATTATATATAGGGAAATTGTATATAATGATAAACTAATAAATTAAATTAAATATTACTATCACACATTAATTTAATTGTACCTTGTAACAAACTATTTGTCAGTCATCTCTCTCCCTCAAACTCTCGCTCCCCACTCTCCCCTCTCGCTCTCTCGCTCTCAATTTTATACAAACACAAGTATATAAAATGTGTTTTTGTTTGTATAAATCAAGAAAAAATTGTATATATACATATACTTTCGTTCACCTCTCTCCCCTCACCCAGATCTCACTCGCCACCCTCGCCTCTATCGCTTATACAAACAGAAACGAAATATATAAATTGCATTTTTATTTGTATAAAATGGGATAAAATTGTATATACACTTGCAAATACATATATCGTCGTCCTATACACTTATAATTATACAATACAAATATTTTTTTGCTCAATTTTCTTTTGTTTTTCTCCTTTTCTCGTTTTATACATACACAAATTATACAATTGATTTGTATACAACTGCTTTCTTTTGTATGTGTATAGCAAACTATACAATTGATTTCTTTGTATACGTATAACGAATTATACATATTTATGTTTGCTATTGACTGTAATTATACAAACTTTATTATAGCACATAAATATAAATTTTGTATTTGCTATATGTCAAAGTTGTTCTATACATAAAAAATATATGATATCACTTTTTAATAATCATATATATAGAGAAAAGTTAGGAATGTTAACTTAAATATAAAATTAGTTTTTTTCAAAAATTACATAACTATATATATATTAATTATAGATTAAAATATATAATATCACTTCTTAATAATCATATATATATATAAAAGAATCTTAGGCCCGCCTACGTGGCGCCATAATAAATCAGGATTCCTTTTTAAATTTATTTATTTTCAAAACTAGTATTTCCCTTTTATGAAAAGTTTAGACTGTTATGAAATGTTGTGATTTGACTGAAAAGTTGTTTTGCGATTTATATGAAAAATTGTGACTTATACGAAAAATTGTGTTTTTATGAAAAGTTATGACTTTTTCGAAGGGTTGTAACTTTTTCAAAGAGTTATGACCTTTGTGATAAGGTCAATAAACGTTTGTTCACATTATCGTTTGTTGATCTAGCTATAAATAGATGGATCTCCTCTCATTTTAAAACAATAAAAGTTTTGAACTTCTTCTTCTTTTTCTGTACAATTAAATATTCATTTACAATTTTTTCCTTTTTGTTTCATCCTGTTGTTACAGATTTTGGTATGTCTATAATTTATGTTATTAATTGTTGTTTTTTAGTATATATTTTAAACTTAAATGTTTATATTTTGCAAAATTATTGATAAGTATTTGTTGGACAAATAAAATAACACACGTTAATTGAGTATTCATGCAAATTTTCTCTACTGAAATTGTTGAAGGTGCACTAAAAAACTCCTTAAAGATATATACTACCATCTCTTGAAGACAAAATTCAAATTTTGTACGTTATTGTAAGGACAGAAAGACCTTAAAAACTTTATGACACATTGATATGCGAAGTGAACCAATATAAGAAGACAAGAATTAATAAATTTTGACATGGGTTCAAGGATGTGACTATGATCTATAGAGAAATACAACTAGATTGGAGCCTCTTTTAATCCCAAAGACATAGATAACTACACAGTAAATTAATTGTTCATATTCAATATGAAGTATGAATAGATTCTCAGGTTTGCTTCAAGTTGCATACTTTCTTGAAGTAATAGATATATTTCTCGACACTACGATTGGAATAGAAGTGTAGTTTCAACTCGAGCTTCATCACTCTAGTATGTTGATTTCCAAAAAAACACCCAAACAAACTGAATAATTTGTGTAATTTTCCCCCCTTTCAAATATATACAATAAGTTGATTTGTTGTCCAATATGATAAATTATCCCTTTAATTTTTCATTTTAATAATTACTTATGATACATTTAGTTGAGGAACTTTAAAATGATATATGTAAAATAAAAGGTAGAGCTGAACTTTCTATGCGTTAGAATTAGAATATCTGTTCATCTTTTTCATCCATATAAAATTTATTTTTCCCTTACAAACGACTAATTATTTATTAAAAAATTTAATATCTCCGATATAGTTGATGTTTATTTGAATCCCCAAATCAAGTAATAACACTTTTTGGATAAAAAGATAAATTATAAAATCAAATTAAAGATGATTGATTGATTGAAGGATAAATGATGACATATTATAATTATAATCTTCATTTTATATTATTAATGTTTTACTACGTAATCTTGTATGTGAGATAACATAGTGTTTTAGTTTTATTGACTCATAGATTTAAGTATTATTTTATAATGAAAAGGACATAAAATCACCATTGAAATTGTCCCAAATTTTCAAAAAGACACCTTAACTTTGCAACCGTCCTATTACCCCACTCAACAATTTTGAATAGATATTATTATATAATTCGTCCACCTCACATAAAGAGTAATGTGCACTCTCTCAAAGAGAGTGAGCAGCCTAAAGTTACTAATATAATTTTGTTTTTATAAGTGTTTTGTCATAAATATATTTTCTTATTAGTTTAACTTTTTTCCTTTTTATATTTTCTCTTTCTTTCTTCTTTCATCTTCAAAAATTCATTATCATCTCTATCCATTAAAGTTCTTACTTTCAATTCACCATTTACCATAAGTTCACCTTCTTTTTTTTGTTATTGTTAATTTTTCTCTTTTTAATTTTAAAACTTTATCTAATTTTTTTTACATTTCGAACAATTATATAAATAGATTAGATTTCAAGATGATTAGGAAGTATCATATAATTTTTTTATTCGATTTTAATTAAGTTCTTTCAATTTTCAAAAAATTAATTGATTGTTTTAAAATTACCATTTCTAATTTTGAATTTATATGAAAATAAGTAGTTAATGATACCTTCAAAATTTTAAATTTTCTTAAAAAAATAATTATTGTTATCAATAGTTCAATAAAGTCTAAAAAATAGTATGAATTCTATAAGAAATTTGACCGGAGAAGAAGAAGAAAAAGAAAGAAAAAAGAGAGAGTGGGGTTCAATTTGACATGAGGGGTGAGAGGAGAAAAAAAATGGATGGATGAAACAATTGAAAGTGGAAGGTGAAAGATAAAGTGAAATTTAAGATAAATTAAAATCAAAAGTCAAAAAGTAAGAGAGAGAGAGAGAGAGAGAGAAATAAAGAAAAAATGATAAAAGAAAATTTTAAAATGAAAAAAATTATACTTTTAATTTAATTAACACGTGTCATATAATAATTGGTGTGTGAACACACTTGCTTCTTAAAATTTGGAGTTGATTGAAAAATGGTATAATAATATCTGTTCAAAATTGTTTAGTGGGGTAATATGACAATTACAATATTAAGGTGTCTTTTTAAAAAAGGCGAAATGGTCTGGTGGACCATTATACTTGTATCGATTTGTATTCTGAACCCTTCTACTTATCCCTTTGTCATCTAGACCCATAATCTTAATTAAAATCATATTTTTAAACCCCTTCCACCATGTGTATAACTCACTCTCCTTTATATAATTGACATGTCATATTCACATCAGATATATCACATCATAATTATTTCATAAACTATTTTTAAAAATTATAAACCAAAATTATTTAATAAAATGTAAAATAATAACATTTTAATTTATTATTGGCATTTCTAATTCTCCCTATTTTCACAATTTCACGACTAATAGAAAGCCATTGCCGACGGCGTCGCCATTTTTGCCGGTGAAATCGCACATACTTTCTCCTTTTTTTTACCGATCAAAATAACTCAAAATCTTTGATATAAATAAAACACAAATTGATCAATGTTTTTAGAATAAAATTGAACAAGCAACCCAATAATATATATAATTGTTTCTCAAGGATCTCAACGTTTGCAACTACATGTTGACAGATTCAAATTCACCATCTACTATCTTCTTCTTAGGCCTCAACTGGTTGTTGTGCCCACACTTCATAGCACTTGCAACAAATTTCCTTGTACTTCCTAGCCAAAGCCACCAAGAAGACTCAATAATTCCTCCACGAAGCCTCATATGTGATGCTGACTCTTGCTCGATTGAAAAAGACAAGTTTAAGAGATTAGAAGGAGACGATTGTTGTGAAAGATCGAAGATTAGGACCTGCAAACTCCCATCTCCATCTTCTCGGCGTACCCGAAAACCCCTTTGTTGGTCGTCGCCTCCCATCCTGCCGGAAAAAGGCCAACTTTGCTCCTAATATAGCTAAAAAGGGACCACCCGTCTCTCTCCCTCTCACACCACTGATAATCGCCATGAAATCTAATGTCACCAAAATGCCAATTCCAAAATCGGGCCAAAGAAGATAACTATGGTGTGGAGGAAAAAAAAAAGAAAAAAGGTTGGACAACGATGAGGTGGGGGTTGCCAAAAAAGTGGTGTGGAAAGAAGATAGATTCTTTTCTTTTTTAATTTATTTATTATATAATTTTAATAATTTAAAGCTTAAAATATGATGTTCACTCGCTTTAAATGTGTGTAATCACACTCTCTCGCTAACTCAGCTATTGTAATGCCACATAAGCATGGTCAATGGTCAGAGGAATTTAATATATTGTGTTTTTGGCTTTGGTACTTTGACGAGCTGGCTGCCGAGAGAGCACTGAGACGAAGAACCTAGCTAGGAATTTCCCTGTCCGTGTCTACTTCTTGAAAAACCTAAAGGGTCAAGGTAATCGTATCAAGAGAAAATGAGCAAAGCTTATGCCCGGCTAATTGAATGGAGTTCCCGGCTTTAAAGAATCAAGTTCAAGTACCGAGGAGATTTATTTGAAGAGCTTTGGTTATGAATGAATAGGCATGTGGGAACAACATTGCTTGCATTGATTCAATTGATTTGAAGTGGCGGTTATACTAAACATACATATACGACCTTGAAATAAATTTGAGTCGACTTCTAGCCTTTTATTCTTTATCGCTCTCGACTGGTCCTATTTTAAGGGTCCAGATGACAAAGGGATAAGTAAAAAGGGTCAGAATACAAATTGATACAAGTATAAGGGCCACCAGACCATTCCACCTTTTAAAAATTCGGGACAACTTCGATGATGACTTTATGTCTTTTTTCTTTTAGGAATTCAGTGATATCAAATTCAAAGAGAAGCACGAATAATTTTACTAGTTATATCATATACTTTAAAAAGTTAAAAGAATATCCTTTAAATATGACATTGAATAATTATTTTAAAATTTAAACTTTTTTATTAAGAGTATATTAAAAAATTTCATAAAAATGTTTGCATGTACTAAATTAAAAATTAGTTGTTGAAAATCAATCATAAAGAGGTAAATTAAGATTTTATTTGATTATTCGCTCTTATTTTAATGTATATTAATCTTTGTCACATTTAAGTATATCAAAGTCAGAGTTTCAATTTTTTTTAAAAGTTTAATTTTAGAATTTAATTTCTTTGATTTTCTTCTTTCTCTATAGCCAGTTTAATGACTGACAATTCACAAAATAGTGTGGTTCTTGTTAAAGATATTTCACATTAACAATAATTTTTCAATTTAAACACTTTTTATTTGTTTGTTTTTATTATATTTTGGAAAGGTTGCAGGGTATGAATCGTCATAACATTCAATCGAAAATAGATTGAAGTATAGAAATGACCCAATTAAAATGACAAAATTATGCTAAACTTGAATTAACATATAAGATAAATAACTAAACTCAGATACACATGTTTAGTGCAACAATGCGCATTGGAGTCTAATTACGTGTTTGGTTCATGAAGATACATCTATACTTAATCAAATACACTAATAAAAACTAGATACATATAATCATATCTCAATTATGTACCATATACATCAATTGGGCCTTCCAACCTTCTAATCGCCTCCGCCGGTCGAGGAAATTTCTCCGTCGTAAATTTATTTTATTAGTTGACTATGCTCTTACTTTTAAAAAATGAAGTTATTCTTACTCTTGTCGTTACTAACTTCATCGTTTGTGTCTCTCAATTGGATGAAAAGTCCCAAATCAACAACAATTACCATATTTTACTTAATTACTCAGTTTCATATTTTACTTAATTACTCAATTTTAACTCAATCCAACTCACTTAATCATATAACCCATTTCTTTTACCCAAATTAACTTTGTTTTCCATCACTAGCATATCCATTTAAACCACCATCAAAGCCACCACCCTCTCCGGGATCTCCTTTACCACAATCAGTGAAATCACTACCTATCCCACTACTCTACCTCCTCCAAGTGTGCTAGTTGCTATATTTTTGCTCCTCATATCAACAAATTTTAGCACAATGCCATCAGGTGGTGGCACTGGGCCAAACACGCCTTTCAGTTATATGATAGGATGCTATGATTTTCATCCTATCATTATTATGTTCTATTTGATCAATTCAATCTCTAGACCGTTAATCGTAAATCATGTTATTATGCATTTCTTTTGGTTGAATATGAAAATATATTCCTGTATCTATGTGTGACTATGGAGTTGTTGGATGTTTACCTTGATCTAAGCACTATTCAAGATTCTTATTTTTCAAATTTGTTATTCTACTCTCCCAAAATCCCCACTATTAGCTATAGGCTCAATTCAAAGCACCTACACAAAAACTTGTATAAAATCTCCAAAACTCTCATTGTTAGCCCCGAGCCCCATTCAAATTTGAATTCGTGGTTGTTAAAGTATACTTGATGACTAAAGATTTGACCATATAAAAGTAGTATTTTGAAAAAGAATTAGAGATGATTCTGTGAGTTGTTGTTTTTGGAAGATTTGTATGATGGGAGAGGTGGTGGTTTCAACAACGGTGGTAAATGAGATCTCGAAAAAATTGATGGATTTGGTGGTGTTTTAAGTGGACGTGTTTGTAATAGAAAATAAAATTGATTTTTGGGTAAAAGAAATGGGCTATATGATTAAACTTCTGATCTTAAATAGAGACTCTACTAGTGCAATTTCAAAGATATAACATGATCATTTACACTATGCTAAAATTATATCTGAATGCAGGTCATTAGTGCACCAACAAAATAGAGTGATAGACATAGTTGCTAAGGAAGGAAAAAGAGCACAGAACAAGATAACTCTTAATATCTGAAGCTCCGTCAGCCAGAACTTATTTTGATAGGAGTGTAATAGTTTTGAACCTAACTATAATTCGAATATGGGGAATGCCCTTATTTCAATTTTTATACCAAACATTGAAGACTTTTGTGCTTTATAATTAATTAAATATAAATATCTATTACTACAAAAAAGAAGAAGATATATTCATGTAATATCTCACAAATCGAAATAAGCTAAGAAACTAAAATATCCATTTTTGGAAAGAAAGGGGGAAAATCTGAAAAATTGCCTAAGTTAAGAGAGTGAGTTTTGGTCATTTTTAAATGGTCATAACTTATAGCTCAAGATGAGGTAGAAGTAGTTCTTAATATGATGGGAAGGGCCTTGGAGAGATCTTTTCAACACCCGAGTTCGCGCATTTTTAATGTCGTATGAGGGAGATATGCATATCGAAAGTTGAGCTGTTGAGGTAAGAAAGTAAAAATCCGAATTTAAGGAAGGTCAAACTAGTCTTTTCAACAATTAATTTCCTATTTCTTTTAAGGAATTTATTTGGGGTAAAAACAAGTTTTAGTTCAGATTAGAAAGATCAAAATCACGCTTAAGGCTTGAAGAAGAAAAAAAAAAGAAGAAAAGGGAGAAAAGTCAAGAATTCGCTAAGAACACCAAGGTTTTGCGAGTAGAATTCGTCGACTGTGATCCCTATCAAGGTACGTGAGACATTTTAGTCTTGGATCAGTTCACCCACACACCAATCTTTTTTCAATTTTTTGATTTTAGAATTGATTGAATGAGAATAGTGAAGTTCTTGAAAGACGTGGTTGAATTCTTGTTGATTGAGTTGTTGAATGTCTATTATATTGATTCATAATTCCAAATTGTTTTTCGAGTTATGTCTATTGGTTATTGAAGGTACTTATAATCCTAAGGGTTTGAGAAAAGAAATATGGAGGTTTAAGCGATTTAGGATTAGAAAACGAGAGGAGAAAATTATTTAGACACACTCGGCAGCACCAGGCGAGCCGCGCCCCATCTACGCTAGAGGGCCTGGGGCGGCGGGCCTGCAATACGCCAAAATGGTGCCTCAGTCAATTGGGGCTGGCGCGGTGCACCCTGAACGAGCCTAAATTGACGTTTTGTGCTCAGTTTTCGTAGTTCAGTCCGATTAAGCCCTTCTAAGGTATTTTAGCACTTCCTAATGATTGTAACTATGCTAAATGAATTCTATCATATAGAAATCATCAAAAACACAAATTTACAACCTTGAATCCATAACTTCAAATTCAAGGAAAAGTTAGAGCCAAGTCTAGAGAATTCCTTTAGTCCTTTCATGAAGTCTTTTGCAAATACTCTATACTTGTTTTAAGGCTTAAAGACCAGTTGAGTAAAGGGCTAAAGATAAGAAAGAGAAGTTCATTTCATGTTTCATAAGTCGTTTTAAGTTTCGTTTTAATACTTAAGCTCGAGTTGTATTCCTTCAAAGCAGTATATGAGAACTAAATATTTCCAAAAAACTTAAAATGTTTTCACATTTAAAAAGAAGGGAAACTGAGATTTCCAAAGAGCTATCGGGATAGTTTTCAGTTAAAGAGAAATAACTTTCTAAATTAAGCTAGCAGGCGAATTGATATTTCTAAGATAGCCTTTGAGCTAAGTATTTTGAGCACTAATCTCAAACCACAGTATCAATATGTTTTAAACATAAGAGCCAGTATATTTTAGGAGTAGTATTGAGCCTCGATATGGGGGAGAGTTCAGAGAACTCACACCCCTCATAAACCATATAACCACCATGGGTAGAAATAGGTCATACTTTTTAGATGAACCCTTTTCGCAGTAGACTAGTGGATCCATTAGACAATTCAGGTCTTATACCTTTGGCCGGGTATATGATGAGCTAAAAGCGTGAGGTAGATCGTTGTATCATCACTATAGCTCTTAAGTGTTGGTCGTCGGTTAGAGAAAAGACCACAGAAGTTAAATGTATTTATGTATACATCAGTTTATTTGTATTTTTACATGCATCTTAAAGTTGTTTGTATCTTTGAATGTCGTTTTCAACATGTTTTCAAATAACTTTTCTTCATATTGCACTTGATTTTAAATTGTTTTATATTGAAATAA